CTGTCTGAATATCAAACATCTTAGGCATAACATGGAACAGGTATTTTTCATCAAGTATTGATATGTTGAACTTTAAGTCCCTACAGAATATGATGAAAAAACATTTAGAAATTAAAATATATTTTAAAAATAAGCATAAAGAATTATATAATTTTTATGTATATAAACAATTTAAATCAAGTATGGTGGAGAATTTGGCATGATAGTCTTTTGTTTTGAAATCCTCTCTGATTTTGTTCTACAGTACTAGAACCCAAGTTATTTTTCCTTCCAGAATAACTAGAGGTATGACAGACAAATTACTGTTTTGTATACTTCTATTCCATGACAATAAGTTGCATGTTAAGAAAGAATGGACAACCTGAATGAATCAGAATCCCAGTGAGTAGACCCCTTTAGGCTGTCATTTAGCCCAAGGTAGCAGGACCTATGTTTATGACTTTGTCCTCAAAGCCACCATGTTTGAAACTCACACTTTTATCAATCAGTGTGTGTGTGTGTGTGTGTGTGTGTGTGTGTGTCCCTGGAGACAGGGCATGTGGTGCCGGGGATCAAACCACAGTCCCGGCACTTCCCTAAGCTTACCTAAGCCGATGCTTTAGACTGGTGAACCATCTCACTGGCCCATGACTAGATTTTGAGGCAGGATTTCACTAGGCATTTCAGGCTGGCGTTGAGCTTGCTTTGTACCCCCAAGCTGGTCTCAAACTCTCAATAATCCTCCTTCCTCAGGCTCCTGAGTGCTAAATGCACCAATATGCCTGGCTCCACTGGAGCTTAACAACCCTAAATCCTTTTATTTTGCCCCCTCTGTCTGAAAGTGTTAAAAATTCCAGTGTCACTACACTATGTTAACATTTTTTCTCTTTTGGGTATTTGGGAAGTTTTTGGTGGTGTTGTTTCTTGGTTTTTATCAGAAACACACTTTAGCATAGTTCTGTTGTCATTTATCACCTCCTCTGTCCAAATCATAAAATTAAGCCATGAGATGTTATAGGGCCTCCTTCATGTCTGTTGCCTTTCTCTGTGTTTATGGGCCGAGTCAAAATATGCATGCTGAAGGCCAGATTTATTCCTCTAGCAACAGTGTCAAAGGGCCATACCCTACAAAGGGCCCTGTGATCATAGACTCAGAAAGTGTTTCCAACATGAAGGCCCCTGTTTGCATGTTAGATTGCGGAATTATCTAAAGAAATTCTAAAGTTCTTTCTGATTGTCCCTGGTCTTCCTCACAAAAGCAGAAGCTATGGAAATGTAATAGAGTGCCAAGTTCATACAGCTGGGAAGCAACCACAGTGCATGGATGTCTACACTTACCCTTGGGTGTCCATGCCCTAGACATAGTTCCTGCCAGTCTCGATTTATTGCTTTATTGTTGAACTGATCAGGATCCACATTTTGCTATGCATCACTTTTATTCTTTTATATGTTTCTCTCTACATCACATGCAAAAACACATTAGTTACAATGATAAGCTAGCTGGAAGACTGAGGTTTCACTGTTTCACAGAATCTGTTTGAATTATTATTGTAAAGTTGTGTCTATTAAATGATTCTGCAGGCTTAGTACTCTGAAGCTTGCATTCACAGCAAATGAATAGAATGTAATATCAACTTTGTTAAGTGTGTTATCTCTATTAATATATGAGTATATTTATGAAAAGTTTGTAGAAAAATATTTTAAACGTATATTATCTTGTGGAGTATAGTTGGGAAAACTGGAGTCAATTCTGTGACTCTTAAGAAATTTCTCAATACTCTTTACATAATTATTTGTCTGAAATTTTATACTCTTCTGTCTTGTTGAGTCTTTCTCTGGCTCATGTCCTGTCATTCTAATTTCTACTCTGAGGTCTGCATTTGATCTCTAGACCCACTTACCTCCCTTAGGAAATCATTTCCCCTTCGATATTATCTTGTCCGCCATCTATTGGTACCTTTCTCTCTCTCTCTCTCTCTCTCTCTCTCTCTCTCTCTCTCTCTCTCTCTCTTTTATTTTGGTGGTACCAGGAATCGAACTCAGGACCTTGCACTTGCCAGGCAAGCACTTATTCCACTGAGCTATTTCCCAGCCCCTCTTTCTTTCTTATTTAGGGCAGGGTCTACAAGGTCTCACTACTTAGATCGGACTCAGAGTGATTCTCCTGTTTTCAGCCTCCCAGTGCTGAGATTACAGGCGCACACCACCAAGCACAGTCTCTATCATGGTATCCGCACACCCCTCGGGCGGGGCCTGCATGGCACGCTGAGGATCGAACCCCGGCCACTGAGCTCTGCCTAAGCAGGTGCTTTAGTCAGCTGAGCTATCAGGCTCTAATGGTACCTTTATTGTGACCTCTATTATGCTTCACTTTGGACTCTTCTCATTTATTTTAGATTGAAATAGTAAGGAAAGGACCTGTCTCGTCTCAGTGACCTGAAAATACTCTAAGCTGGTTGCACAGTGAGTATTGTGAATGCATGGGTGGTGCATCAATATGAGACAATATAGAGAAAAACTATTCCCTTTCACAGAACAAAGATGTGCTACCTGTTACCTGAGCTTATACGCTTACCTTGACGCGCTCACCTCATGAATCTTACTGGATTGAAATATTGACCAAGCAAAGACACGCTTCATGATCTGTATGCAAATATGTATTCCCAATTCGGTGACCCTTATTTCATTTTGTCCTGGACTCATGATACTTTCAGATATCTCGGGATTGACTCTTAAACAGGAGAGTGACCTTCAAAGGTTCCAAGCATATCTGTGACCCATTTTCAGGAAGAGGCCATTGAGTCCTTTAATACATGAAAGTTTTGAGAAGTCGAGAGGAAAGCCCTTAAACATATATAAGCATTCCTTATGGGAGGTGAGATTGACATTGCGGAAAAGAAACTGGTCCAGAATTTACTTGGTTCCAATAAATCATTTGAGCCAGGTTTAGTGGTTCATGACTGTAATCGAAGCCCTAGCGACACTTACGTAGGACAATCGCCCCAAGTTCCAAGCTAGCGCGGGGTAAAAAAGTGAGCTGAAGCGCAGCCTGAGATGCATCGGTAAAGGGTCACAAAGACAAAAATTAAATGAATTAACGATATATCATTTGAGCCCCACCCCTTCTGGAAGGAAGAGTTTTATTTCTCTTGTCACTACCAGTGCAAATGTCAGAGAAAGAGCAGGAGCCAATCAGCGATGAGGAAGGCGCGGCTCTCGACCTACCAATCAGGGGCCGAGGGAGGCGGGCTCTTCCTGTGTCATGGCGAGTCCCGAGCCCAGAGAGCGGGGATGAGAGGACCCAGCTGTCTAGACCCCTTTTCTCTCTAATGTCTACTGGCTGCGAGCTGCATTGGAAGGATCGGGGCCCTCAAGCTACGCAATGGTGACGTTATGGGACGGGAGGTAGGGACGGGGTGGAATAGGGAGCGTTCTGGACCGAAGTGGCCAGAAACAGCTGCGGCGACCTGCAGCCTCCCTGCTTCGCTGCAGACACCGAGGTCCCCATCCTCATCTGAAACATCTTCCGCTTTGCGCAGGTGGGGTCAATTCTGGGTCCCCAGCACACAGACGCTGTATTGTGACAGCTGTTCCCTAATACCTGCTTGTTCGGCCCCACGCAGAGGTGTGTCCCCCGCGGTCTGCAGAGAGCTGGGGCTTTGGGGAAACCCTGGGTTCCATACTCAGCGAAAGGGGAAAAATCATCCTTTTTTTTTTTTTTTTTTTTTTTTTTTTTCGTGAGACCTTTGCTCGCAACGATGTTGCTGCATAGACAGAGCTCGCATGGTCACCACCTGGAGATGTGAGGTCGCGAACCGAAAGAAGGGGTTAGGAGAGATTTTGCTGGAAATAAGAAAAATAACTCCGTGATTTCCAGAAGTGTCAGGAGTGAGTGGCCCCTTGGCCTTTCTATTCTAGAGCTAATTATAGATAAGCAGAGCATAATAAATGCTCGGTATTTAGTGACCACCTATCTCGGGGGGGGGGGGGGGGCTGTGGATTTAAAACAAACACTGAACTCTTCTGACCTTCTAACCCATTTCCTCCACATGCACTGTTAAAAAGAAACAGATTTTAGAAAAACATGCGATATTTTGTATTTTAAGTTTCTGGAAACTCTGGAGCTTAGTAGAGAGTGGCTGCTCTTCCTTTCAATAGGGAGGAGTCTGAATTCTCTGTCGTGCCGAAAATACTCTCATGGTCCAAAGTCCTGGGTAATTGACTATCCCCATTTTAATCTTATCACAGTGGCTAACTTGCCCACTCTATGGCAGGATCTTTCCTAGCTACCTGCCTTATTTGCAAATTAACTAAATAATTTTTTTACCATTAGACGATTTATTTATTTTTGGTATTTACTACATCATCTACAGGGCCTCACTATGTAGATCGGACTCATAGTGATTCTCCTGTTTTCAGCCTCCCAAGCCCTGGGATTACAGGTGCACACCAGCACGCCCAGTGCCCAGTCCGTCTTTAGTCACCCTCTCAGCGTGCCTTGAGAGTGGGGCGACACTGCAGGCTGGGGATGGAACCCCCCCCCCCCAGGCCTCTGCTCTCTGCCTAAGCAGGCGCTTCACTCCGTTGAGCTATCTGGCCAGCCATACCATTAGCCTATTTAAATGAGGGTTTCTATAGAGCTTAGAATTCTCAAAGATGAAGGGGATGTTAATGTGTTGCCAAGGGAGGGAAAAGTGTTCCTGCTAAGGACAACTGTCTGAAGGGGCTGCCTGTTAAATCCACAGTAGGAAATGCGTGGTACTGGGTCATCTCCAGGGAGGTGTACCTGTGATATCGGTGTGACTGGAAAAGAAAAGAGAGGCCATTTCTCAACTAACTGCTTTGGAGCCTGTGGACTGTTTCTAGACATTGTTTTAAAAATGGAAACACTGAATGACACGTTTGTATACAAGAAGTAGTGAAGTAGGAGTAAATTCCTATAGTTAAGGTAAGCGGGCACTTGAATGAATAGAAAAGAAGGTTTTCTGAACAGGCAAGAGTAAATGGGCGTGAAACAGAAATGGGTGAGCAGGGAGCCTGGGAGGAAGGCAAAAATCACCAACTGCATAAACTTCTCCAGCCATCAGATTATTCTTGCAATAAGTTGTTTGCTGGCTTTTTTGAGGTTGGGTCTAAGGTCACAGGCCCCCCAAAAGGAGGAGAACTTAATGAGAGATGAGTATTTCCTCTAAGGCTACTGAACAGCTCACCTAATCGTTCCTGAGGCTAAATTAGAAATTAGAAAACTGGTCCTGGTGTAGGATTAAATATACAGTATCCATCATCACTAGTATAGAAAGGGGTATCTCTTGCAAAGAAAATATTTCAAGGTGTTTCATCTTTTCATTGTACAGAGTGAACTCAGAGATGTTGCCCTGAGCTACATCCCCCTGTCAATTTTTATGTTTGAGACCAAATCTTACTAAGTTGCCCAGGCTTGGGAGAAAGTTTGATAGTTTTTACCTCCTTGGCTGTTGGGATCTCCTTGGGGATCTGTGCTCCTTTGCTAGTTTAAGATTGGGGCTTTAAACAACCGTGCTTTCCCAGGATTACAGTGCTTGTGTGAAGAAAACATCACTGAGGCATGGTAGTGCACCACTTTAGTATCAGTCAACTGGGAAATTTAGGATTATTAAATCACCAAGCCCCAGCCTAGATAACTGAGCAAGACCCCTTTTCAATATGAAATAAATATTTTGGAATGCACCTCAAATCTAAACCAACTTGTTTAATATACATGAGGCCATGAGTTAAGTTTCTACTAATGAAGAGAAAATGAAAATTATTTAGTGCAAATCTTACTATTAATTTTGAAATTTACTCATTTTTCATACTAGTGGTACATGGTTCAATGCTTTTTCATGATGGTGGATAGCAGTAACAAGTCACTATACTGTCAGTAAAAAGGACACAAACTGAACAACCAGTGATTTACAATGTATTGTATTCAATAGCATGCATGAGATATCTAGTGTCTTATGAATTTGGCTTTGCATTACATGAATTTGCCCAAATTCAGATCCAGGTATGCATGTTAACCAGGTTTAAAGCTTCCAAGACTTAGTTATGGTGTTTATATTCTGCATCTTTTCAATACATTTTCTCTTCAGTGGCCTTAGATGAAGATGTTGCTCCTTTCACACTCATTACATCTGTAGACTTATTCCTTCAACTGTTCATATAGTCCTGTGCAGAATATGACGCTAGATTGTATCCTTCATTGAATGGAGTATTGATCAGTTTTTCCTGAGCAACAAATTCTGAGAATAGTATAATCATGTTTGGAGAAATATTGTTGGCTTTGTTGTTTTGTTTTGATCTTTAAAATTATTATAAATTATAATAATTTAAAATTACTACTGTATTGAATATTTATAACTTATTATAAAAATAATACTAAAATTGCTATTATAAAAATTATTATCATAACAGAAATCTGGATTCTTGTAGTGGGCTCTGCCCTACCCTGGGACATTTTCGTTCATCAATTTTTCACATATCCTTACATATGTCCATATAATATGTGTCCATGTAATTCTGTTCCTCATGGAGACTGAATTATGGTGCACTCTCCACGAATGTTGTGTCAACAGCCATGTCTTCATGGGCTGGCCTAGGAAGTTCTGGGAAAGCACAGTGATGCAGCCCAATTTATCATAGCTAGGTCTTGGAAGCAACCTAAATGCCCATCAACTGAAAAATGAATGAAGAGGATGTGGTATTTTTTGCACAGTGGAGTATTATTCAGCTGTAGATAAGCATAAATTTGAGGCTTTTATTGGTAAATGGATGTAACTAGAGACCATACTCTTATGTGAAATAAATCAGATCCCTGTGTGTAAACATAGTATTGTCTCTTTAATGTATAAAACTGAAAAAGAAAATAAAATTTAGAGGATACAGTAGATACTGAGAAAAGGGAATGAACCTGTTTGAAAAACAAGAAACAAAAAACAAACAAACAAAAAAAAAAGGAATTAGATGAAAAGGATAAGAGAGGGAGTAGGGAAAGAGTTATATCTATGTAAGCAGGATGGTTTGGACAACTGTACTGCAGATTTTTGCTGGTCTGTGGAAAGAAGCAGTTAATGTTTAAATGTTTCTGTCGTCTTTTTAAAATTCTTTTCTTTAGACCTAGATTAGCAAAGGCAATCCTGAACAATAAAGACAAGGCAGGAGGCATTACAATTCCTCACTTGAAATTATACTACAAGGTTACTGTGATAAAATCAGCATGGTACTGGCAACAAAATAGACCTGAGGATCAATGGAATAGGTTAGAAGATGCTGCAGCCCCTACAAACACACTCAGCCACCTTATCTTTGACAAAGGGGCCAAACATACTCGCTGGAAGAAAGATAACCTCTTTAACAAATGGTGCTGGAAAAACTGGCTCTCTACATGCAGAAAACTAAAACTTGACCCAGGTCTATCACCATGCACTAAACTAAAGTCAAAATAGATTAAAGATCTAAACATTAAAGCAGAGACACTAAATCTCCTGGAAGAGAAAGTAGGAAGAACTCTAAAAGACATAGGGCTAGGCAAAGAGTTCATGAACAAACATCAAATTGGACAGGAAACACTTGAAAGAATTAACAAATGGGACCTGCTCTTACTGAGAATTTTTTTCACGTCAAAAGAAATTACCAACAAAGTGAAAAGACAACGTACAAATTTGGAAAAAATCATGACAAATAACTACTCAGACAAAGGTCTGCTCCTAGAATTTATAAAAAACTAAAAAACACTAGAGCCCTAAAATTTAAAGACCTAGTCCAGGAATGGGCATCTGAGATGAACACATGCTTCTCAGAGGATGAAATTAAAGAAGTGAATAAATATGTGAAAAAATGCTCCACATCACTAGCCATCTGCGAAATGCAAATTAAAGCAACATTGAGATATCATCTCACCCCAGAAAGAATGGCTATCATAAGCAAATCAACCAACAACAAATGTTGGAGAGATTGTGGGGAAAAAGGAACCCTTCTCCACTGCTGGTGGGAATGTAGACTGGTTCAGCCATTATGGAAATCAGTGTGGAGACTCCTTAGAAAACTTGAACTTGAAATCCCATTTAAACCAGCTATTCCTCTACTTGGAATCTTCCCAGATGATCTGAAAACATCATACTATCGGGATATATGTGTGCCTATGTTTATAGCAGCACAATTTGTGATAGCCAAATCTTGGAAACAACCAAGATGTCCATCAGCTGAAAAATGGATGAAAAAGATGTGGTATTTTTATACAATGGAGTATTACTCAGATGTAAAGAATGATAAACTCGAAGCCTTTATATT